CAAAATCCACTGAGCCTCATGTATGTTCCCTGGTTTTAGCCATGGAGAAAACTCTTGGCTTGATAGACAATTTTCATTATATTTACACTTGGAACAGAACCAATAAAGGCGAGCAGTTATTTTTTTTTATAAAAAAAAAATTGTCAATTTTAAAGTTTTATTTAGATTACAAAAATAAATTGTAATAAAAATATTCCTATTTATGATGTTTTAAAAATTAAGACCTACGAAAGACTGATTTAAGACATTTTAATACCAATTAAGGCCTTAGTTTTATTTTGAAGAATTCAATGCCTTTTAAGACTTTTTAAGGACCCGCGGGAACCCTGTTATTGTTTTGTTATAAAAATCCTGGAAAGATTTAAGTTTGCAGTTTAGCATGTTTATGTTTGTGTGACAGGAACAGGAGAGTCTGGTGGGCAGATGGCAAACCAACAGGCTGGAAAACCTGATTGAGCTGCACAATAAGGCCCCCGTGTGGAACGACGACACCCAGTCATACGTGTTAAACTTCCACGGCCGAGTAACACAGGCTTCAGTGAAAAACTTCCAGATAGTGCACGACAATGACCGTAAGTATTGATTTATTTTTACATTTTAAGCCCAGTTTTATAGAAGGTCTTAGTCATTTTTATTATTTACTTCTTCCTACTGTTAATCTCTGTTTCCTCCAACCTCAGCCGACTACATCGTTATGCAGTTCGGAAGAGTTTCTGAAGACATCTTCACCCTGGATTACAGCTACCCCATGTGTGCTCTTCAGGCCTTCGCGATCGGCTTGTCCAGCTTTGACAACAAGCTGGCCTGTGAGTAACGGGACGGTGTGCTGGATTCAAACCCTCGGACATGATCTGTGTGCGGCACAAAAAAATTTACAGACTGAAAGGGAAAATAAACATTTTATCTAATGAGACACAAGCACCTAAAGAACAGCTCATGCTTATGGCTTCATTTGAAGATATATGAACTGAAACTGTATTATCTGTTATTTCTGGTTGTTTCAATCTATTTAATGAGAATTGTATCGTTTAACTTTTTCTCTGGCGCCATCTGCTGGCAAATGTTAGCCTTTTAAAGATACTTTTTGTCCCTTATGCTACGTTCACACTGCATGCACCTTGAGCAGCAGATGCAGGCGGTTTACATTGAAAGTCTGTGATTTATGCGCATCAAAAGGTCCAGCAGCGTGTCTATAGCTGCAAGAGTGGCGCATTTTGACGCATCTGAGCAGGTGAAGCAGCGCCTCATGAGCTTCTGAGCAACGCGCTTCACAACCAGCAGTTGCTGGAGTTGGGAAAATGTAACTTTTGCTGCTCGATATGCCACATCAAGCAATCAGAGAATCTGATCTGGGAACTGACTGCGAGACAGACACAGCACTGTTGATGCAGATCACTATGATCACTCCTCTGGAACAGTTTATTAACGCCTAAATTAAAGGTACAGTGGAGGATTTTTGCTAATTTTTGAAAAGACCCCCCCAAAAAATTTACATGCACAACCCTGTACCCGCTCCTGAGAGGGAATGCATATTAAACGTATGCGAGAGCGTGCACGAGCCCATTTCTCCTCGTGCACGCTCTGTTTAAAAGCTGTTTTTATCACTCATACAAGCTTACTTTCCACCCGAGATGAACAGTAGGAAAAATCCCCCAAGAGGTGACTGGACCTGTGGGGGTCTGAGCGGCTTCAACAGTGAAGTAATATTTTAAGACAGGATCCTAATCTTGGTAAACTGACTGCACAGATGATGTTTTGAGGTGGACTTTCTCACTTAAAAACTACTTTTCAGCCACTGATCACAGCAAATATAGCAAAGCTGCTCTCTGGCATTGAACACAGGAGCAGCAGAAGCATCTGGACACACTTTACTGGAAACACTTCAGGCATTCCTGACCTTAATGTTTACAAGCAGCAAAAATGAAGCAGTAGATGCTTTTTTGATGCCCAATGCCCATCCAGTGTGAACGTAGCATTAGATCCGAGGTTTCCAAATTGCATGCAGAGAATTTCCAAATAGATTTGTCTGTAATGCAGGTTTTGTATTTTTTCACTTGTAATTTTTAAGCATAATTTTGTGCATAACTTCATGGTACTTGTAAATGTGTGTTCTAATAAAAATAAAAATATTAAAAAATGAAATAATAAATATAAAAATACACACATCTGATAATTACGAATTAAAAAAGGTGTCTATGCATAAAAAACATTAAATTCATGTACACCAATCACATGAAACACAGAAAAAATGACGGTTACCCACAAATCAGGTCATATTTCACACTCTAAGATTCATGATGCATTTAAATGCTGGTGGAAAGCTGGGTAATCTGAGTTTTGTTTGGTGTCTAGCATTTTTTTTCCCCCACTGAACTTACTTGACTCTGTGCTTGTCCTAAAGCGGCAAAGAGGATTTTCTGTGGAGGATGGGAAACCTAGAACAAAGTTAGAAACCTTTTTAGACTCGTAATTATCAGATCTGTGTGCGTATTTTTATATCCATGATTTCGTTGTCCTTGTAGTTGTATCCGAACCGACATTTTAAAGTTCATAAAATTATGCACAAAATTATATTTTCAAATTACAGCTTTACAGAGAAATGAATTCTCTCCATAAATTGTGTCGAATGGGCCGCTGTCCTGCATGTTTTTGATTTATCCACGCTTCCGATCTATTGATTCTAATAATTTCTTATTAAGAGGCTTTTGCGATTCTCCGGTCATCCGAATCAGACGTTTAAGCAATGTGCTGTACAGCAGCTCTTGGGGACTGACTTCTAACGCCTCTCCCTTAAGAAGAGTGGGGTAAATTAGCTTTTGTTTTCCCTTATTTTGTTTACAGAACTTATGCTTATAACTACAATTTTCTAATCTGTTTATATGTAGCACAGCTTCCTTTCAGTCGTTGTGTTTAAGGTGCATTTTAAGCACTTTCTTTGCATGTGATCAGGCTGTTGTTTTTTTTTGTGGAAGTTATGTTTTTGCATCATATCACTTTGCCTTTTGAGTACAATAATTTTTGGCAACTCATTATTTTTGGACTGCAATATGCTTTTAACCAGTGAAAAATATAAACATGATAATATTTGTACTATTATTTCTGTGTTAAAGTTAGAACACTAGTAAACCTTTATTTTGGTGGACCAACACATTTGATTTTAACTGTAAATAATGAGTGTCAATAAGGAGTCCAAAGTTTAATTAAAAAAAAAAAAAAAATCTTCTGCCCTTTTTTAATTTCTCTACATTATAATCATCTGTGTATTGATACCTCGTTTGTTTTGTTTTTATACTCATCATAATGTCAGTTAAAGCTTTTGGTTTTATCAGCAGTTTACATGCAGGAATCGTTTAACAATATGCAGCGGAAAGGAATTTCAAATTAGGAGCAATTTATTTAAACTTAATTGAATCCAAACATGGTCATAGATGCACTAACAGACTTTATACACCTTTACTAATATCTGCTAATTTCAAAGAACTCCACATTAGACATTTATACGTTTATTTTGATTTGATATTTACTCCCTTCACCAGATAAGGTGAAGTTCTTGTTACAGGCTGATCACCAGTCTCAGAAACAACCTAGGAGCCATCAGGGCTCTTGGGTTTAGCATCGTCATGGAACTCCATTCTAAAGTCAGTCTTTAACTTCCAGGAACCCAAATGTTTATCAAATCAGATAATAATTGAGAATTCTGGCTTCAACAACTGGAATGTAGATTAAAGGAGTTATGGTGAGGGTTAGAAGCCAAAGAACAGGTGAAAGCGTTAAAGCTACAGTGTGTAACTTTTAGCGACATCTAGCGGTCAGACTGCAGCAACGTGAACATCTCTCCCCCAACGCTTCTCCCCCCCAACAGTACGGCGAGCGTTACGGGACAAAATGTCTTCCACGACGTCCGCATCACCTACCTTCTCAAGTGATGAGGTTTGTTTACATAGATCATTTTACAGATAGTATTTCATTAGTCTGTGTAGGGTATAGATTTCATGCAGACTTAAGATAATAAATATACCCGTTATTTTTTCTACATCGTTGTGACGTTTTGGCGATCTCGCAATCGCTAGTTTGTTGGCTCTGCGCTGCTGTAGCGCAAAGATGTCTGCCTCCATGGCTGCGAGACCCGCTCCTATGTAATTATAAATAACGAATTCTAAGGCAACGCAAATATTAAGGTTAAGAGGCTGAGCTCGTAGATGATAAATAACATAGTTATGTATAATATATTACATTTCTGACTGTATATCCCTGTAATTATTACACACTGTAGCTTTAAAGTATTGCGTCATATGGGTTTGTTCTGCTACCTGAATTGAATTTTTCAACTTCCCCCTGAATCAGCCAGGAGCAAGTTAAACATTTTTTTTTAATTCCTGTGATAGGTGTTTCTATCAAACGGACTAAAGACACACCTTAATTGGATCAGGAATGGTTGAAGCTGATAAAACTTAATCCTCTGGAATGATCCATGGTTCCATTTAAAAAATTAGTTTCATACTTTAAACCAGGTCAGAGCTCAGAGACCAACAGATTAAAACCTCTATCACTTCTGGTAGAGGAGCCAATTATTCAAATCAAACTTAGGACAACATTGATGGTTAAAAATGTGTCCACAACTCGATTAGGTTAATTTTATTTATTATTATTTGGGTGTTTGGCTGATTTTAGCTGATACACAATCGTAACTGCAGGTGGGAGAAAATTCCTAATTCAAACTTGTGCATCTGATTTTAATTATGAGTTTTATTTTTTGTCCACGCACACAAAAAAAAAAATTATTTTAAAAGAAAACATCTATAAGAAGTTTGATTTTAGTCTGGTTCTTATATTAAATGTTCTTTATTCAGAGTATGTACAGCGAGGAGGGACTCATTTTATAGATCACTGTTGCATTGTGAATAAAGTGATTTTATCTGCTTGCTGTGGTTCTATTTCTTCTTACAGCTCAATACCACATTTTAATTATTTAAAAATTACCTTATAAGAACTCATTTTTGCCATATAAATGGAGATATGTGCAGTAGCATTTTGAAAATGATGATGAATCTCAGTTTTCAAAGATGTTTCTAAAGACAATCAGAAATATTGCTTTATTGGAATTGTTTTATTAGAACATTTTTTGTTACTGAATAAATGTATCAGGTATCATGAACAGTTTCTGTCTGGATTTGATTGGAATAAACTCATCAGCCATGGAGGTTAATCTCTGCTGGTAGATTTTTGTACTTGATCAGGTAGTATGGGTAGCACTGGCAGCTGTCGAACACTACAAATATTTCGGGGCTGTGCATCTTGTCAACACAGGTGTCGTAAACATGTCCCTTGCTGTCTGGTGGTCGGCGGTAGTGATGTTTTCCCAAGCAGACGCTGCCCACCAGGACTTTGGCCAGAAACATGTAGCCTGGCTCATCCGAGTTCATTGCTTCTGTGTAGCTGTGGGAGGTAAAGGCCTTGGTAGCGAAGTAGGAGCCAAACCCGTAATCTTGTCCATTGGGCCCGGCCATTCGGGGGTCAAAGTTGTTGATGCAGATGCCCTCTGAGGCTTCCTTGGTGGTCCCGTGGAAGAGATGTCTTTCCAGAGGTCCCTGAGCCTCGGTGTGGCGCTTCTGCATGTGTGTTTTCTGTCTGTGGTAATAATGTTAGTTTAGAAATTGATTAGAACTTAAACAGAATTGGTTCGGTTAGACGATAAAGGGTCAAAAACCTAGGGGTTCATATTCAATTCCAGCATTTCCAATTTTGATTTAATTTCATGCACAAAATAATTCAGCATGAATTTTTGCCACCTGCTTGACAGAAGGAATTTATTTGAAAGCTTTCAATGAAATTTAGAGGGTCTTTTCAGTTTTAAAGGAAAAGCCCGGTCATATTCACAATTCAAACTTCTGAAAGTACTTTAAATATGAAATTATTACATACTGTTCAATAAATGATAAGTGTTGTTAATTAAAAGTAATTTAAGTTTAATGTGCTTTACCTGAGACATTCATGTTTGTCAAAGAACACTACTGCCACCTACTGGTTTGTGACGTCACGGTGCGGTATCGGCTGTTGTTCAAGTCCCAGTGCTGTATCTGGTGTTTGTCACAACGCGCTATTATCCGGGCAAAAATGGCCACTCAAGGACTCAGTGATCGCAACGAAAATTATTACGTTCTATTTTTTTTTTTACTGATTAACGCTAAATTCATTAAATCAATGCAAACGTATTAGTTGTAGGTATAAATAATGATCCATTGATTATTCCTTACTGACCAAACTTTTCCTTTAAAACAGATTTGAAACTTATTTACCAGCCATGTCTAATATAATTAATGTCAAGCAGGCCATTAATACTTAAAAACGTGTTGTAGCTTTATCAACTTTTTTTTCCTTTATATATATTATTTTTTGCTAAGCTCTTAAGTCACCAATGATTAATTGATTATCTGAATATTAACTTACCTTTGGTATTTGTCCCAGTGCAAAAGGTTCTGGACCTGCTGGATGCTGATCACATCCATCTGGCTTTCTGAAAGGCTTTGGTGGAAAAGGTCCTTGATGCTTTGGTAAGCCAGGGTCCCGGCCGGAACATCTACCAGGCGGTACTCCTCCACTTTTTCCTGAAGCCAGACTGGAGGGTACCAAGAGTCAAAATCCTGCAGGGGATCTATGCTGAAGTTGGCCCCGGCAGCACAGCTGTCAGGGTGGGCGGAGTCAAACTGGATTCCAGTTCTGGAAACGTGAGAAGATCCCAATATAATTAAAATCCATACAAATTCATACAGAGCTTACGTTTATGCCTAATTTTTAGTCTAATTGTTGCACTGTTGCTTTTTAAAAAATCAAGTATAAATGAAGTATAAGAAATTAGATCATCCAACAACATTTACATTTTTAACTCTCCATTTTCTATTCTGATAAGTTGTACCCATCTTCATACTGGGATGATGTTTCGGCTATAATCGAAATAAATACTGCAGACAAACAGCAAAAGATCCAAAACACTAACTTTAGGTGAGGCTGCATCAGTTCTGGTGAGCGGTAGGAAGGCCTGCATCGGATTTCTCTCTGGAAGCCTGTGCTGACTCTGGTCTGGGTCATAGTGGTAAAGTCCACCTCATACCGCCTCGCACCGATGTGGAAGAAACAAAGCGGCTCCTTCTCACTCATCTTTTTCAGAAGCAGAGCAGATAAGTCCTTGGAAAAAAAAAAAGGATGAGCATAATTCAGATTTAGCAATTCATGCTACAAGCTAAAGTGTAAATAGATGAAATAGATGTAACATGCTTCTGCTGTAGGTTATTGATAGCAGTTTACAATAGATGCTGGAAAACTTGATTTTTAACACTTATGCTATGCTGTAAGAGCTCTGCTCTTAAAGGGATTCAAACATATTTAGTGGACGTTACTTTCAATATTGCATCAGCAGTCCGTTTACAATATGAGGTCCCACAGGGTTTGAATTCAGGCCTTCCATTTTTCCGCATATTCCCCTGTCGTAATTTTATGCCTGATTAAAATTTCTCTTTATTGCTTCAGGATTACATTTGAATCCAAATTCCTCAAAACGTGGAAAATAGTTGTATAAAAAAACCTTGAAAAGGATTTGGAAAGATATACAAAAAAACTGAAAGGAAATAAATGTCACTATTTACAATGAAGTTGGTCTTTTAACTGGACTGTTTAATGTCTTTTAACGCTAAATTCATTAAATCACAGCAAAGGTATTAGTTTTAGGTATAGATAATGATCCATTGATTATTCCTTGCTGACCACACTTTACCTTTTAAAGAGATTTTAAACTTATTTACCAGCCATGTCTAATATAATTAATATCAAGCGGACCTTTAATACTTGTTGGTACTTGTAGCTTTATCAACATTTTTTTCCTCTGAAAGTGGAAAATAATGGCATAAAAACATTAAACAGGATTTGGCAACACATAAAAGTAAAATTGAAAGGAAATAAATGTCACTTTACAATGAAGCTGGTCAACTAACTTGACTGTTTAGTGTCTTCTAACCTCACATTGTTGTTCTCTAAATCTGATTTTACATTAAAGTATTTGTTTACTGGTCCTTAATAAAACTTTTTTGCAAACTAACAGCCAATAAAAGAAAAAATAATTACCGCACTGTACTCTTTGAAGAAGAAATCATCCAACCAGTAGATTTTCCACTTGCTTGGAAAGTGAGGATTTCTGAGGACGCTCTCCGTGTTAGTGAGTCTCCTAACTGCGTTGTACTTTGACTGATCATCCAACTCCATTGAGTTAAAGTCCAGGGTGTAGAAGGCGTCTCTAAAAGGGAGCACAGCATTGGTAAGTACCCTTTAATTGATGTTTTATTTCT